AACTGATATTGGTGCCAATATTGTTTAAAGTCTTCATTAATGACCTGGACAATGGGACAGAGTGCTCCTTCAGAAAGTTTGCTGATGATGAAAAACTGGGAGGAGTGCCTGGTACACCAGATGGGTGTGTTGCCATTCATGTGGTGCCCAGTGACAGGAAAAGATACAACAGGCGCAAACTGAAATATGGGAGGCTGGACTTAAATACAAGAAAAAAATTCTTTACTCTTCCTTACTCAGAGGGTGGTCAAACTCTAGAATGGGTTGGCCAGCAAAAAATTGTGAAGATATTCAAAACTAAACTGAAAAAGATACTGAAAAAGATCCCACTCTAGATGACTCTTCTCTGACCTGTAGGGGTGACCTTGTCAATCTCCAGATGTTCCTTTTGAGGTCCCTTCCCAGAACGTCAAAAATTCTGTGATCCTGTGGTATTTGTGGTTGCTAAACTCCAATATATCTTCCTGAACTTCTCCATTTCATGACACCTTCCTTTCTTCCTCCTTCAAAGTTTACCCTGACTTACCACATCATTTCTGATTTCTTTCTCCTTCCTGCCTTTTTTTTTTTTATGTCCAAGACCTTGCCAAACTGACTGCTCTCTCCCACTCCACCTGCTCTCCATTTCAGCTGGACTGAAATTGTTATTTCAGGAGTGAGTTTCATCTGCTGACCAGCAATAGCCTATCACTTAGATAAAAAGAAAAAGGAAAAAAAAAAAGAAAAAAAAGAAAAGAGGCCTGGAAAGGGGTAGTGTAACTTAAATCTTCCCACAGAGAAGAATTTTCATATGTGCCAGTGAAAGAAAAATAAGATAACTTATGCTTTCTCCCATGCTGTAACCCACATATACTTTCAGTATCTGAAAAAAACCCTCCTCCTTTTCCTTCTTATCAATCCTTCAGTTTTTTCATTTCTTGTGATGCCTTTATCACTTGAACATGTTTATGCTGCTGCTCTTTTAAAACACCTGCCTATTACATTAATAGTGTCTATCTTCCTAAGTTTTCTCTCATCTTATGTGTAGACTGAAAGCTCTTCAGGACAGGCACCAGTATTTTGTTCTCTGACAGCATGGGGGTCTCTCAGCTAAGACTGCACTAATGATAGATGATCTTGCTTGTGCCTTGGCCCAGATACACACTTTTTCTGTTCAACACATTTTTCTCTGTTTTTAAGAGATCATTGCTCATTGCATTTAAGTACATAGGATTTAAGACATAGTGTAAAGCATCCAAAAGCAACATTAAAGACTTTGCCATAGTGATGGCTCCCAATTACATGTTTTCTCCCCTTGGAAAAGTCTATTTCTTCTTCTCCATTGATAACAAATGATCTAACAAAAAGTGAATTCTCTGCTAAATAAATAAATAAATAAATCCCAAATCTTCAAGACCTAATTCATGATAATGTGGTCATGGAGAGCCTTTTTTAACTTCAAATAGCTGTGGAAAAGATCAATATTTAGACATATGCAACAACTATAGGGATACTATTTTATGTGGACATAATCTTGGACACTCACCTTAGATTCAAAAAAGCCAAGTGTAGGATAATGACTTTACTGGACAGGACATATAGTTAGGATGATAGATGACAGTCTATCTAAATATATTCTGAAAAGTGTTCCTATAATATCTGTCCTTACAGCCAAAGTGAAGGCGTGAAGCACCTTCATGAGGAAAATATACCTTGGCAGAAAGATAGGGCAATTTGTAAAGCTACCAAGGATGTTTAAAACTTTATGTCAGGGAATATGTATGCATGTATGTTAATGTATGGTGAGAATGTGAATTTTTAATGTCACCTCTGAACTGAACAATCAAGAAATACTGAAATCTGGCTTTATCTTACCATAAAGTGGGCTTGTCTTTGGAATAGTCACGCTTTCTGTTTTTCTGTCCTGAGTGACTACAAGTATCAGGTAATAAATGGTAAATACACATGAAAGAAGGATGTTAATAGAACTGTTAACAAAGTTTCTACATGTTGAGAATGGCATTGTCCATTATGTGACTGCCAACATAACTCTTCACGATATTTCATTCCGTCAAAGATTTCTGAAATTCAAGCCTTCTAATAATTCTAAAAGTTTGTTTAAAGGGGTAAAAAAAAAATAGTGACTTCCGCAGAATGAGCAAGATGACGCCATATTGCATGTTTTCTCCTTAACACATAGTTTAACCACCAGGAACCATTTCTGAAAGGTTTTAAGGAGTCTGCTTATATTGTGGGTTGCAGTCTCCACAGTTTATTACAATAACACATGCTGGCACCACGTCTAACAAAACAGTTCTAGAATAAGCAACATAACAAATTGTTCCTTTAGCTCTTGAATTGGTGTGTATACTATGTGGTCTTTTTCACAATCTTCACTGCACAGGGCTGCAGATTTCCTGATGACATTTTGTTTACTGGATCTGCCAAGGGTACACAGAACCAGTGAACTGAAGTCCTGACCAATGTGCTGTGACTGACATGTAACCACCATTTAACCACCGCTGTACATGATATATTGGAAGTAATATGAACATGACCCTATCCTCAGTGTATTTGGGATCAAATGTTAATCTTCAGCAGAGAGCTTTAAAATACTTTAGAAAAAGCTTTTGTTCCAAATGATCACAAATGCAGGGATTTAGTAACAGAAATTATTTCTAGTTATGAAAGTTTAATTAATGAATTACATTAATTAGTACAACTATTCCCTCAGAACTGCATATCACTACCAGAATTTTACAGCAAGTATGTACAAATATGGCAACTCACACGGTGTAGTGTATTCTGATGTCATTCTGGCTTTCTGCCCTTAAAAGTTCTATCAAGCAAATATAAGACAACAGAACAACTGGAAAGTAAAGAAAATCTGATTTATCAAATTTTGAACTTGTCATATTTAATAGAAAATTTCACCCTTTTGGCTATCTAAAATGGCTTTTTTTTGTTTGTTTTTCTCCAGCTATGCATACATGCTTGTTTCTACAAAGGATTGTTTACACCAAAAATGCTATTCTACTGCTAGTCACATCAATGCTGATCTGTAGTAACTGCGCTTGGATAGAATTGGCTGCCTTTCCTTGAATGCCTCCAGTTGAATAGGGTTTTTGCCAACAGTTGAATATGGCTCTCAGTATTTTGTGAAACTGAGATTTGGGGAAGTTTTGCAACTAACATCAATGTATTTCTTTTAGAAAGTCATTAAGGTCAGTACTTCTAACATAGAATACATACATGTAACCATGTGCATACATATATGTATACACACATTCTATAAAATTAATCCAGGAAGTCACAAACAAGGTGTCAAGCTGAGGAATCTCCTGCATAGGCCATTGCTTTTGTGTGCAACTAGTCTTCTGATGTTTTCTTACTTATGCTGATATAAAACCTGATTTGTACTACTGACCTTGGATACAAGACAGTTCATAAATCTTGTCAGGGATCTAATTCAAAGCCTGACGGAAAGACTCAGACAGGTTTTAAGGCACCTTGGAAAATCCTTCAAACTTACACAGTATAAGAAAAAAGCTTTTGAATAATATATTTTAAAGCTTAAAAAGATATCTTTTTTCTTCAGTTATTTTCTCTAATCACTAGATCATAGCTTGTAAACAATAAATCACTTTTTCCATACAATATCCTCCTTGCTGTTCTGAACATGCTAAAAAGTAACAGCAAGAGAAATTTTTAAAGGTATTTGTATGTTTAGAAACACATATATTTTCATAAACAACTTTTGACACTTCTCATCCTTGTTCCCATTCTCCCATGCTTCATTTCTTTCATCACAGCAACAAAAGATTTAAGAATATTTTATTTTTACTTTTTGTAATAAACACAAAAATGTTATAGTGATTATTTTTCAAAGAAAACTTACTATAATTAGGATATAAATCTCCATGAAAACATAAGCTGTCTATAATAATCAAGGGCTATAACAAAGATATGTATTGAGAGAGCCCTACACAGAGGTATCTGTCTATAAAAAATAATAGCAAGGAAAGTATTCCACATGTCTGCAAGGTACTTTTTTTTTTATACTATAGTTGGTTAATGCATATCCATTTACAATGCTAGACTTACTGCATCAGAAGTGGTTCCAAATGAGCAGTTTCAGCATCAGTAGAAAGGTCTCTGTTGTTTCACAGCTTTGGCTTTTTTGCCATGGCTGGTTTTGGTTTGTTTGGGGAAGCAGGGTAGATTATGACTAAATATGCAGACTGTATCCCTTCACACAGAGAATCACAAGAGCAGTCATATCTTGTGAGATCCCAGACTATCTGTCAATGAACTTACAACCTTCCTTTGATATTTCCAGTACAATAGCAATGTATTTAAAATGCAAATTTAATCGAATGCCGTTGACTTTATCAAATACTCATATAGATCTTATTTGCAAAGGAGTACCTTTTAGCCACACAATAATGTAAAGGATATTATTTCAGTCTGAAGACTCATTTAAGCAGAATAATTGGCATCAATAGCACTTACCTGATTGTGTGGAATAGAGGTTTTACAGCTATTTTCCAGCTCAAAACCATGCAATAGCCATTTTAAAAAATAATGCAATGTTCAAAATTTATGAAAATTAGGTTTTTACTAACAATGCTTTTTTAAGAGGCTTCTAGACACAACTAGTGCAATTTGCTACACTGTTTGTGGTTAAAAGAAATGTGCCATATGTAATTATTTACAGAGATACAGCATACAGACTAGAAGGTTTAGATCAGTTGATATATAATAGTTTAACTGCTACAAAAATTAATCAAGTAATGAGTATTGCACTCTGTCCTAAAAGAATGGCAAGCCTCTTTTCACTAAGAGAAATCGGTTACATGACTATCATACTCTCACCAGTCTACTGAAAGGACTAAAAGAAATCAATATCACACAGAAAGATGGATCGAGCATGAATCAATGTGGCAAGCACATAACCAAACAGACATGGAATTAAACAAGAAAAAAAAGAAAACCAAAACCAACAAAGATTGTCGCTTAACCTGTTTTGTCAGAGCTGGTATTGATGGTATTGGTAGTGATGGAAGTGAAGGTAGTCTTTGCGCTGTCCTTGGTAGTAACAGATTTCTGCTTATTTTTCATGGCTTCCAGTGCTTTGAGCTTCTTGGCATGTTTAGTGCCTTTGTAGTGGGCCGCAGCCTGGCTCTACAAAGGAGAACAAAATGAACCATGCAATCAGGCTCATTTCTAAACTGGCATTCTCTGTATTAGTACAAATACAGACTACCTTTCAATAATGGGTACCATTCACATTATCCAAGTAGTGACCAAACAGAAAATTATATTTTGAATGATGCTCAGAAAACAATGGAAAAACACTCAAACAACTCCAATTTGATAAAGACAGTATATTACTGTAGGACAGTATATTACTTTCAGACCAAAATAAGGTTGTTTTAGTCTACCATGCTACCATTAGTTTTTATATCAAGACTTCTTTTGGTTTTGCATTAAAAAAAACCCAAAAAAACAAAACCTCAGGCAACAGGTAGGCAGGCACTCTCCTCCCAGTAATTTTGCACTTTTCCAGTTTCTGTTTCAAACTAGAGATTTTGTCAAAGGTTTCTTCAAATAAAGTTTACTTTTAATAGCGGTATCTGGAATGTCTCAGCAAAGACTGACAATAAAAAACAAACCAAAAAACCCCCAAACCAAACAAAATCCCAGACAAAAGAAAGCAAAACATAAAACACTCTTTTCAAAGCCCATCACCAAAGATTTAACTGAATGTGAGGCACACATGCAATTAGCTGGCTTTCTTAAAAAAAGGTTTTTTTTTTCCACCTGCTATAATGTTTGAAATCCAAGCCAGGAGCATCCTTTCAAAGGAGAAAGCTCACAAAAATCCTGTCACACTCCCAAATATATTTGGCTGTATATATACTGTTCAGCTAAAACAGATTTGTATGTGCATTGCTATTAATATTTATGTATTACACTGAAAGTATCTTTATTATTCTAAGAGTTAATACCAACTTTTCTTCAATTAATTTATGGTGTGAATAGATTTTAAGAATAGTATTTGACATATAAGACTAAATCTTATACAAAACCCCACTGGAATTAGTATGAATATACATAGATTATTTCTTCTTTATTTAAATGCTTATAAGGAAGATAGTCTTCCAGTTAATAACTTAACAACCTAAAAATTTCCTTATATTTTTACTGCTGAACTTAAACTTTATTGAAAGCAACTCCTTTCTTACTTGAAGGATAAATTTTTAAGACTCTAGAAAAATATTCAAAATGTAGCTACTACAGAATTGAACAAATTAAAAGGAACTATGTGGGGTCAGCTCAAGGACCCAAAAAGGTCAGTATTTTGTTTCTGGACTGAAAGAGTATCACATACTTAAAACATAAAAGAAAGGTAAATGCTTTCTATTGTAGAATCAGAAGAAAAACAAAACAAAACAAACCAAACAAACAAAAAACCCCCAGGTATGTAATTTAGTGGCTAACAACTCAAAGGATCAAAGGGATAAAATGACACAGTCACTTGACTCACTAAGCCACTCACGCAGGTAGAAGGATCCTGCACTATCTGGCTTCTGTTAGTCATTAGACCTTTATGCAATGATATTTAATGTGCTGAATTTGGGGAAGAGAGGAAGTTCTAATGAATGTCATGGTAAGAGTGTATATTAATTAATCTCAAGATTTATGACTTTCAGTTTTCATGAAAAGTCATGATTCTTTCCAGATGCCTGAGTCTTGAGAAGTTCAAGGTGAGTAGGAAAGAAGTGAGAGACCTTTTCTAAACCAATAAACACATATATGTGTATACATGCATAGATATACACACATGCATACACTCTTGTTATATATTGAGATGCATCATTCAGTTTGGTTGAAAAGCCAGTTTCTCTACACCTAAAATAATGTAAATATTGTATTAGGTACCCTTATTGAAAGAACACTGGACAGTGAAGTTATTAATTAGAAACAACTTGAACAGAAACACCACAATCATGCACCTTTTACAATTCCCAACATGTAACATTGAGATATACTGTAAGTCAAATACAAACAGTCAAGAGATGTTAATTATTGTTAAACTGGAAGACCAGTGTCAAGTTACAATGATGCATTAAAAATGACATTATACAGCACAACCTCATGTCACTATCATGTCAACTATTTTTACAGTTTCTAGTCAAATTAAATTATCAGTCAGCTCTAGATTCTGACTGCACTTGTTTTCCCTAACTAATACTGTCATTTTTCAAATATCAGAAAGGTAGTCAGAAAACAGTCCTTAATACTGAATTATGACTGTTGATATTACTTTGATACACAGCTCAACTTTCTTCACAGAATTGTTGGTGGAGCACCCCAAGTTTACATCTCCTGCATCCATAGTTCTCTTCCCTCCAAATTCTCAGTTACAGCTCCACGAACCACAACTCAAGCAGTGTTGGATGCATAAGGAATATACAATGAGGTCCTATGTAGAAACTGGTGACCTTTTCAGTGTTCTGAAATATATGAAGGAAATTGCTCCAAAGTAGAAACATTGCTCAGATTTATAGGTATGATGCTATGCAGAGTTGTCCATTACTCACTTCCCACAGAGAGCTGCCCGTTTACCCAGCCTCTATTAAAGCAGATCTTAACGCAATTTTTATTTCAAAGTTTAAACCTCCATCCTCTGTGCAGACATGAAGCCATCTGATCTGACCTTGTTTTAGTATAAATGTAGTTGGCACATTAATGGTAGTTCTATGTGAGAGCAGACGGATTGCTCCCAAGCATTCAACCAGCTCCAAATTAGCTTATGCTGAATTTTTACAATGGAACTGGATCCCTTAAAAAAAAATAAAAAAAATAAAGTCTTTCATCATCTTTCCTTGCAAGAGTAAGATGGAAAAAATGGAAAAAATATCCATAAATATCCATAAATATCTTTTTCATCACAGTAACATAAAATATGGTACTTCACTAAATAACTTCTTGCAGCCATACGAGAATTAAATAATCCTCACTACTTAAATGGCATTTACTTGTAGCTTATAAAACTCATTACTTAAATAGTATTTACTTGTACATGAAATACAAAAATAAGAGACATCATAAAAAGAAATTATTCCCAACTTTCATGAAGAATTAAGAAATACTGAGAGAGAGCAGAAGAGTGATGAACAAGTTAGTTCTACTTTTTGGTGCCAACCATGATGTTTAACTGAGTGAAAAGACTGTACCCCTTCAGAAAGGTGAGAAGGGGTTTCCTGGAGCAATTCAGAGTTCAAAAGTTGCAAAAGCTAAGAAGATAATATACACGTGTTTATATATTACCTTACCAAGTTGTGCTAGAAGTTGTGCTCAGACAAGTTATGAGCAGAGATTACAGGTGAAACCCTACATTTACAGAAGCTGATGGGAATCAACGGAGTATTTCCCTTCCTGTGTTATGTAGAGGGGTACTGATTTTATAATTGCTTGATAGAAGTCAGCCCCCTTTAAGAAACCACTGTTTGATCTAAAATCAGATGTTCCCTCAAATGAAAGAGATTCAGGACAATCCTAAAGGAAAAATTCCCTGTTACTAGAGAATATTAGTCAACCAGTTATCCTAAAACCCCTCTAATGTTAAATTCTGTTTCTTTTTATGATTACAAAATAATACATTAGAGGAATACCTTAAGAAAGAGTTTACTTTCTTCTTTCATCATAGTTTCCAAGTTTACTTCTCATATCATAGTTTCCATGTTTGATACACCGTGAGTGATGAAGCATGAGAAGTATGTCAAACATTGCTGGTGCAACTTTACAGTCAACTTTAAGAAACTATATCCTTTCTTGAAAAAGATGTCTAACAAGAAAGTAAAAGGCAGATTATTACTTCGTATCTGAAGTTGAAAACTCAAGGATACTTAATTAAATTTTGAGGGCTCTGCTACTGCAAATAACATGTAGACAGACTTTGGTCTATGAGAATTACTTCAAGGAAATGGCAAGATGTCTAAATGGCAAATAACTTTTCTAGGTTATTTGTAGCGAAGCCCAAGTCAGTTTAAGCATCTCTTTTCCAAAACAAATAATTTCCTCTGCTTACATGTATCTACCTTGAACTATTAGGGACCTTTATAATCCTTACATTTTGTAACCTTCCCAAATTAGAATACAAAAAATATATTTGTCTATATAAACATTTATTGTGTAAATATATATATATATGTATGTTATAAACACAGAGACACACACATACCATAAAAGAATAAAAAATTCTATATGCAGGTATAAGCAGTTAGAAATAACTTCCATAGTGTCAAAACTCAGCTGTTTTTTCCTTCCCTTAAGTGCCATATTGTACCACAATTGCTATAAGGACATCATATTACCCAGCAAATTGCAATGTGTAAAGTACAATGAGAAAGATAAAATATTTTAAACAATCCAGACAGTATTCTCTTACAATTTCAGTCATCATATCTACGTGGAAATCTTCACAGTAAGTTTGTCTGCCTGACTAATGCACTCAGTGAATCATACGTCTTCTCACTTATGTTCTTTTGGTATCGGTCCAACAAAAACACTGTGTTTAATTTTGTGCACTGAGACAAAAAAGGTTCTCCTCCTTTTCTCAGAGAGTTTCAACTTAGCAGTACTGCATCTTCTACCCTTTTCATATCTCTCCTGGTCTAATTCATATTACCAATCTTGTTCTCCTGCCTCAGTCATTCCTTCTAGGCAATACCTTAATAATAAAAGCCAGCTAAAAGAAAATAACTTTTTAATAAATTGTAGTGAATATGTTCCATTGATTCTTCCTCACAAAAATTCAATGCAACTATCCTGCATTGTGTCTTTCTCAATTGACACTACCTTTTGAGAGACGTCCATTATGGACAATGCTCTGCTCCATGCTGTCATCTGGCCAATTAGTAGCACCCTTTCTGCACCCTTAGAAAGCCCCACAAAAGGGGTGAGTGATGAAAAGCCCTTTTTGTCTATTCGAGATTTCAGTAGATCATGTCATTTCTTTGTTTTCACCAGCTACTATCACCTCTGCTGTTAGTCCCAGAACAATAATAGCAATTTTGCTTAATACATCAGCAACTGATGTCAGGATCCTCCAGAGTTTTTACTCTAAAAACAAAAAATGAGTTTCCTAGTTCAAACTAATACTGTCGGTGATCTGG